TCTCCCCTGAGACCTACTATGTTATATTTAGCTCCTTGCTGCGGAGCAAACTGCATGCAGTGCCCCTTCGTATACTCAGGATACCACTGCCACAATGCTAGCACTATTTTTAAAGTGGGCGGAGCTCTGGGGAAATCTAGCAAATGGAAATTCGTAAACAGCATATGATTTGAAAGAGGTAACTGGGCGCACAATCCGCGTACTATTTCATATCACTATTTTATCAAATTTTTCATGATATAACGGTCGGATTTTTAATATCTTTGCTATTAGTCCAAATCTTATTACAAAGGATACGAGTAACGTGGCTGCTGTAAAACTTGTAGCAAAAAAGTGTTACAAGTTGTAACGGAAATCTACTTGTAGCAGAGGTGAATTGAGCCTTGAATTTAGGAATTTTGCACAGGGGAGAGATAGATAGGGGTCCGCTAGGGGACGGCTCTGATTGGCTAATTTTGTCTCTTATTTATTTTATTATTTATTATTTTGGGCTAATTTTGTTTTATTTTTGAATTAGGAATAGGGTTAGGGTTAGGGTTAGGATTATGGTTAGGGTTAGTGTTAAGGTTAGGGTCACAATGCATCATAAAACAGGAGTTTGAGGCACGTGATTTGTATCAACCAATGGCAGCGCCTATGTTTTTGATTAACCTAGGAAAAAAAATCACGCGACCGGCTGGTGATTTTTGTGTATGAAATGTGTTCAGACAACTTTGCAGAAATTCGCATCATAGAGCTGGCAAAAGTTTCAAGCGGAGCATAGAGCATGAATCTGTAGTTATTTAACATGAATAAAGTGTATGTTTTGTAAGTGTAGTAACAGTGTGAGTATTTTTAATTAATATCTGTTCGATGCTTATTCAGGCCTGCTGCCTATGGACGCCATCTACTGTTGTTTACCACCTTATACGCCTCCTATACGCACGGCGGCCGTGTGGATCCGATTCAATATGGCTATACGCACGGCGGCCGTGTGGCCGACTCAATATGGCTATACGCACGGCGGCCGTGTGGATAAGATTCAATATGGCTATACGCACGGCGGCCGTATGGCCGACTTAATATGGCTAGGAATGAGGAAGGGGAGAAGGGAGAAGCTGGTGGAGAAGGAGGAAGGGGAGAAGGGAGAAGGTGGTGGAGAAGGAGGAAGGGAGAAGCTGGTGGAGAAGGAGGAAGGGGAGAAGGAAGAAGGTGGTGGAGAAGGAGGAGGGGAGAAGCTGGTGGAGAAGGAGGAGGGAAGAAGGAAGAAGGTGGTGGAGAAGGAGGAGGGGAGAAGCTGGTGGAGGAGGAGGGGTGAAGCTGGTGGAGAAGGAGGAGGGGAGAAGAGAGAAGGTGGTGGAGAAGG